TGAATATGGGCTGATGGTCCATGGTCCGGTGTCGTGCCATAGAGTGTTTGCTGGACCCTTGCTTGGGGGCGGCTGACCTGAGTCAATCCTTGGGCCCGAACCGACCTCGGAACTTTCTCGATTCAAGTTTCCTCAAACCCAGCAACAAATCGACCACGTGCCACTTGAGGCCATGTTTCTATGACGTTTATTGTTCTCACTTTTTTTCTTTGACGTGTTTGACGTTTTGTTTTTTCTATTATGCCTTGCGTCGCTGTTTCGGTCCTCAGCCTGCCCGGGGAGCCTTGGCACCCGGATGCAGAGCAGGCGCGCGCCCGACTGGGGATGAGGAACCGGTGTTTTGAAGCACACAAGGAAGGAGCTGATTTCTCGCCTCAGACGCCCACAGATTTAATGAGTGTTTTCGTGTGACCGCACAAAAGAGGCACAGAAATGACACCGGCAAAAGACTCGTCGCATTGCAATATTTTTTGTGCAGAGGTGCAATACGAAAGCGCGGCTTGTGGAGAGGTATGAAAATCTTCAATGTAGCGATCTGCTTGCTGCAGCTGGAATCAGCCTTTGCCAACAAGCCACTCTGATGCATGATGTCGCTTGTCCAAGCTGGCTTGCGCATCGCTGTCCCTTGCGATATGTGTGTCTCTCCAGTCCCTTCACTGAGGCTGTGGAACATCCGACATGAATTGTCCAGCGGAGGTTCGCTGGGCAATCTTACAGTCAAGCTCAAAGCGGACTCTGGGTTGCATTCTGTGACTTCCGGTGACTTCCAGTTTGTTTCCGATGCCCATGAATTGTGCAGCTTCAATCATTTCCCTACAGCTAGCGCATAGCGGTGTGCTCGTTGACCTTGGACATAGCGGTGTGCTCGTTGACCTTGGACGCGTTCATTCAGCACTTGTTGCGTGTGTTTTGATTTGCAAGGACACGTTCGTGAATTCCAAGACGACACTGGGCGAGCTTGGCGGAGTTCGTCTCGTAAACTCCAAAGGTGAGTGCCAGCGCCTCAAACGCCGGCAAGCTTACATGGGTATGGTATGGGTCAAGATTAAACCACCAGGGGACGGCAGGTTTTAGTCTGTTCCATTTACCAGGGTTCCATTTTGGGCACTTCATTTTGACCCACAGCATTGCTTAGACTCTAGCATCATTTTGCCGAGATTCCGAGCTCCAGGCATTAGCTGCACCGTTCCGCTCACTTGCTCGACGCTGGACGAGCCGGAGTACAAGGCTTCCGACACTTCACTTGTTGCCATTTCGAGAATTTGTTCAATGTTCTCAACTTTGAGAGCCGGTTCAAGAAGCAAAAGGTGAGCATGCGGCTGGCACTCATTCACCGATCAACGTGCTGGCAAATCATGCCGCTGCGGCGCTGAGATGGGGAATTGATTTTAGAGCGCATCACAAGGCTTGAGAATGTTGAGAACAGGCATCTAGACTTGAGCCTGCACCGTATCGGCTGCTCCACGAGAACAGCCCTCTTGCAGATAGCAAGCCCAGAGATCCAATCTCCAACCTAGTCCAACCTAGCTTAATCGGCCAACATGTTTGCAAGCCCATCTGACCAGCTGGTCGGCAGTATTGGGCAGCGCAGCAAGCGACTCTCAGCAAGACAATTGTGACTGCTTGCAACACAAGCAGACTTGAAGCTTAGTCAACGTGTGTGTGTGTGTGTGTGTGCGCGCGTGCGCGTGTGAACACGAATTGGAGCAGGGCACTCTTGCGGACAGCTTCTGTGCTTAGGCTTGCTAGGCAGAAGAGTTGGAAGCAGGAGCTTGGTTGGACTTGCCACGCAGCTCATTTCACTTCCCCGGGCTTTTGGCTTCTGAACGCATTTTTTGCTCGGGTGCATTGACCGAAAGGTAATCAACACCCCCATGTTTCTGCTATTTGTGCTAGACGGATAATTTTTGACATGGCCGTCACAAGGTCTACCCCAACACGGTGAGGAGTGCTGCTGTATGGAACTTGATGGCCTCCTCGTTTGCCAGGGAGAAGATGTCAAGAAGGCTTGCAACTCGAATCCCAAGGCCGGCGACAAATGGAGTCTGGTACTCAGCAACACCAATCACCGCCTTGCACATTGGACGCAAAAACCTGAGGCTGGAAGGTGAACGCCAGCCACGAGTACGACGTTAGGACAGCTGCTTGGAGTGGGGTTTTTGTGGGCTGGTTAGAAGCTGCACAGGTTAGACTTCCCTCTGGACAATCTGAACGGGGAGATGGACTTCTCGGTGGAGGTGTTTTCTGCTGTGGCAGCTTCAGGAGCTGAGCAGAGCCATTGCACGTGAGGGGTCGGATGCAACATCCTGTAATTCACAGGCAGACCCATCAATTATTGCAGCATTCGTACAGCCGAACGCCACATTGCCACTTGTTCCGACTTTGCCCACGACCCATCAGATACGGTATTCCAATGGTATTGGCTCAACACGTGCTGTGTGCGCAGGCACCAACACTGAGGAGGAGAAAGGGCGGCAAGTTACGAATTGGCTCTCCACGACTGTCATGGGCAAACCTGGACATCTTGCATGGATGAAGGTTGTCAGCTGCTCAGGCAACAGCATTGCAGTCTGCGGCTTTTGTATGCTGAATCACCCGCAGCGCTCTAGACGTGTGATGAAACACTGGTGCACGTGCCCAGGCCGTGAGCATCAACGGCGATTTTTCGAAGGCTGTGCAGGGGGCAGCCGAATCTCAGATGCCGGCGGCTGCAAAGGACCCAAGTGCTCCTATCAAGTTATGCAATAGAGTTCACCGGAATTTGCAGCGTTCTCTGCTTTTTTTCTTCTTCTTATTTCTGTCGGGGCTTTGGGAAAAGAAACAAACACCGGTGTAAAGCCAAAGGCCATCTGGAAGCTTCAGGCTCTCTGCTTCAGGCTCTGGTCAAAACCCGCGAAGAAAGAAGGACACTGGCGAAACAACGAAAACACAAAGACCCAGAGTCTCTGAGGGAAAGGTCTTCGTTTTGCTTCTGCTTTGTTTTTTCTTTCCGAAGTTTCCGCTTTGCTTGCTCCTCAATCTTTCGAAGCCGGCTAAGACAAAGTCTTGGCAATACTAGATTTAGAATTTGCAATACCAACAGATTAAGTCTTGGCAGTACGACATATAGATTTCTCAATATTTTAGCAATACAGATTAAGTAGAGTGGTAGCTTGCAATAGCCCCTGACCCTCTTAATCTGACAGTCTTGGGGTACTCTTCAATGGCATGGGCAAGTTAACTTTGAGGAAGAATCCCCAGATCAAAACCTTAGCCATTTACTTTTTCAACTGGCTAAGACTAAGTCTTGGCAATACTGCCTTGCGCTTGCATACGGGGACCTATAACTGCTGAAGGCCACTTGCGTTTGCTTGGCCCATTTGCCCCCTTGCTCCACTTGCTTTTTGAGCAAGTGCACAAGTGGCCGTGGCCACGTGGTCCACTTGGCCACTTGGTCCACTTGCTGTTTGAGCAAGGATGGTCGCGCTGTTCAATCACCTGCCCAACCAACCCCTAGTTGAACAACAGACGCTAGGACAGGGGGTCGCGTTGTTCAATTAGCCGCGCAACCGACCCCTCATTGAACAACGGCTCTCTTCGCCCCTTTCCCACTTGCCCACTTGGGCCCCTTGGCCACTTGGGCCCCTTGGCCACTTGGGCCCCTTGGCCGCTTGGTCCGCTTGCCCACTTGGTTTGCTCGCCGCGCAAGTGGACAAGTGACAAGTAGCCGTGGCCACTTGGCCACTTGATCCATTTGGCGACTCCACTGCCTTGGCGACCCAAGCACTGGCCACTTGCTCCCCGAGCAAGTGGACCAAGTGGCCAAGTGGACCAAGTGGCCGACCCCACTTGGCCACTTGCGTTTCGACCAAGTGGACCAAGTGGCCAAGCGGCTGACAATGACTGCCCCGGATTCCGGCCCGCCCTGCAATAGATGTAGCTCGATACACTGAACATTCTCTCCCCCCAGAGGCCCAGAGGCCTACCTTTTCGCTCTCCAGTTCAGGATTTGCCCATCTAGGGCCAGAGTAGCACTGGACATGAAATTAAAGACTGGGAATGAAGACTCGACCAAGCTAGGTCTAGAACCAAGGATCTGCATATGCGCAGTTAAGGACTAGATTCAAGATCGCAGATTTGACATTTCCTGGAAATGTGTTCCCGAGAATCTTGAATCGTATTGACATTTGATTGCCGATTTGATTGCCGATTTGATGATTGTCTATGGGCCTCGCTCTGTGTATTAATACATACTATATATAAATATATTTACATGTCGTATATGTAGTGTTGCTCCGCCCCCCCCCCCCCCCACGGACATACCTTTTTTGAATGAGATCGGACTGCTGCCAATGCTGGCAGGATGTCTATGCGGGAGTTGGTACCTGAGCTGCCCCCCAAACCAGACAGATGGCAGACGATGGCAGACATATTGAGACACAGAAAGAATAGCATGGAACTGAACCAAGGACTGTGTGAGTCCCAAGGACATCCGCGGCTACCATGCGTCTTGACAATCTGAAGTTCAGGTTTTTAAAGGAACGCTTTACTTCCGTTACTTCTACATCTCTAGGGTACTCAATGTAGCTGAACAAAAACACAGGGCAGCGCCCAGAACCTGCGACTCGCATCCGAGGTCACGGAGCTCAGCTTGTTCCGCACGCAGTTCAACGTGATGGTGGCCTGCGCAGGGATGTACACAGGAGAACGCGCGCGCAAGAGCAAGCTTGCAAGAGCATGCGCTCGGTGTTTGGTTTTTCTTTTTCTTGTTATTGTTGTTTCCTCTTGCACGGGTGTTTGAGAATTAAAACCCAAAGGCGCCAGTTGTTGGAAAGGACTGGTAGTTTTGAACATGTCGGGACATGTCAGTTTCCCGCTCATGCAGCTTGCCTGGAATGTGAGAATGCAAAGTAGGCGAACATGTTCTCACATCCCTTGATCGACATAGATTCCTTGGCAGGAGTTGCGAAAGTGGAAGTTTGCGAGAAGCACAACCAGCCGTACACCCTGCATGGGCTCTCAGCGGGATGTGCTGTGACTTCTTGCTCTCTTTCCAGGCAGTCAGGAGTCAGTAAGACAAGCGCGGTAACTCAATGTATAGTTTCTCCTAGGACCGATCTTCCGGGCTGACCACCAGCCTGAGGCTAGGGTTGTCAATTCTGATGGTATTGAGCTTGCTACGTCAGCCACCGATGCTCTTTCCATAGGAGAAAAAACGCATACGGATAATCATACACACCAAGGCGACAAACAATGCGTCGACACTGAATCCTTGAAAGCCTGACTGCTTGAACACTATGGCAAAACAACCATCTCCAGGATCTGAGAGCAGACAGTCTAAGATCGGTGGACATCTTTTGGCGAACCATCAATTGAGATCCGTGGAAGCGGAGTTTAACACCTGTTCCATTCTACTGGCAGGCACCCGGATCCTGAGAATTTGCACAGGCCTTTTTCAACAGAACAGCGAGCTTCACACAAGTGCATTGAAACTCTCAAAAGGTACCCATGATGATGCCGGGGATGGTTTGAGCAAACCGCATGTACCTAGCTCTGGGCAACCGCCATTTGCTGCAAGGAAAAACCCAACACCCCCAGAGCCTTAACGAAGACAAGCAAGATAAGCCAGAACTGCCAACCCCAACTGAAACAAGAACAAACATTCAGGACAGACCACAATGATGCAGGGGGTAGTGTTGGACCTCCAATTGTAATTGGGGCCTCTATCGTAGAAAGTTGTTTCTTAATTCAGGATCCTGTGTCAGTTTTGGGTCCTCTGTCGTGGACATGTTTTTTTTTTTCTCCCCGGGGAAAAAAAGCGGAACAAAAGCACACGGGCAAGAAACAACTGGCCAAACAACTCGGGCAAACCTTTGGAGTTCCTTTCTTCCAGTGGTCCCCAAACCATCAAATTCAAGATAACTGCTTTACACAAAAGTAAGGGCAACCAGTCACACAAATGAGCTTGCCCGCAAGAGGCCCTGGACAGTTTTGGGTCCTCTTTAGTGCCCGACTTTTCTAGGCGTTGCTGAAGCAACTGGCTCTTCCCAGCTAAATTAGAATTGGCAGTACTGATAATTAAATACTGGGAATCTGAGAGCAAGTCTTGCAATACTCAAGTAAGTACTGGGAATCTGAGAGCAAGTCTTGACACTACTAAAGTAAGTACTGGGATCTGAGACTAAGTCTGGGCAATACTAAACTTAGTCTGGGCAATACCAAATTTAGTCTTGGCAATACTAAAGTAAGTACTGGCAAGTCTGAGGCCCACCCAGACCCCCGGATTTTCACTAAAGAGGACTGCGGTGACTGGGTTCACTACTGTATTGGGGGCGGGGGGAGTATTGCGGGTCCAACATTATGCACCTGACCTGCTGAGGCCACCCTTTTATTGGGCCGCATGGTTCTTTGGTAAAACGAGCAAGACAACCCTGGCTAAAATACTGGTTTTGGCGATCCCCAGATTCTGAAAGCTTTTGGCTTGGAATGCTTGGATAAGGATTCCGGAAGACATAGCCTGACGGCAGATTTTGTGCTCAAGGTGGCAAGACTTTGCTGAGCCTGGCTGCTCCGAGGTCGGGATGTGATCCGGAGATGTGCATCGACGACCAGACTGCTGGCTATGTGGTCAAATCCAAATCTTTAGAGAGGGCACATTTCGAAGTGAAAGCGGATTGTGACGAGAAAAATGGCCCCTTGGCAGACTGTCCGTGTATCGCAAGCCACCTCGGGAATAATGGGCCACTCTTTTGCACGAATCAAATTGAAGTTCTACTATCCTAGTGCCAGACTGTCTCTTACAGCGGGCTGTCGTCACCGCTGGTCAGGCTACTTTGGCACTGCCGGTGCCGAAAAGTGCGGGGGACCTGGTCAGCCATACACACTCTTTGGCTGTGCGACGACAACCAGCACCACTACCACCACCACCACAGTCACCACTACCACAAGCACATCTACAGCGCCGTTCTCAGTGACATCTCGAGGGTGAGTCGTAGTTGCATTTCAAAGGGGAGTTGCCCTGGACGTGTGCGTGGCACCCCTCGCACTGAAGCAGGTCCTTAAGTAGAGCAAGGCTCACTGGCGCGTGGTACAGGAATGAGTGTGTTGCTGCTTGCACCACTAGATTGAGGTGACCACAACATCCACTATTACTACCACAGTGACCACCACAACCACAGAGACAGAGACATCTACGATCACTACAACCTCTACCTTCACAACAACCACTACGACGACCACCACAGCAACTAGTACAACCACTACCACCACGACTAGTACCGTGACGACCACGACCACCACGACATCCACGTCTACGACCACCACCAGCACCACTACTTCTACAACCACCGAGACCACGACCTCGACCAGCACAGTCACAACAACTACAACGACGTCCACCACCACCACAACAACGGAAACTTCCACCATAACGGTTACCACAACAACAACCACATCCACCTCCACTACCACGTCGACCTCAACAACCAACACCGAAACGAGCACAACCACAACGACAATCACGACCACAACCTTCACATCAACAACAACAACCACGTCAACAACAACTACTACATCTACTGTGACTACCACTGAAACAACAACATCCACAACAACTATCACCACGACATCCACATCGACTACTACAACAACCACCAGCACCACAACCTTCACTACTACAAGTACAACAACCATTACAAGTACCATCACAACAACAAGTACCAGCACCACGACCACTACGATCACAACCACCGAAACACAGACAACTACGAGCACATCAACAACCACCATGACCCAAACAACGACGTCCACCAGCACCACAACAACCACAGTTACATCAACAACCACCACTACCACAAGTACAATCACAAAAACCACCACCACCACTAGCACAAGTACGACAACAGCCACAACCACTTCTACCACTACAAGCACAACCACTACAGCCACCGTGACAACCACGACTACTACAACCAGCACAACAACTACAACCACCTCTACCACCACGACGACTTCCACATTCACCACCACCACTACCACATCCACAACAACCACCACCTCTACCACAACGATCACGATTACAACCACAACCACTACAACGTCCACAACTACCACAAGCACGTCAACCACAACCACCAGCACAACCACGACCACTACCACTTCAACCACCACCACCACAACAACAATAAGCGGATTTTGCGTTGCTCCACGCAATGCCAATGGCTATTCCATTAGTGAGAAGAATTTGGTGTGGTCTGAGTTCAACGTTGAAGTCAGATGCGCTGCCGGCTATGTGGGTCACCCCAAAGTGGAGATTTGCAAGGCGGCAAATGCTCCATACAAAGTTTCCGGCTGTGCTGGAGCCTCAGATATGTGCAGGATTCATGCACATGGTAGGGTATGATCCAGATGCCAGACTGTTTTGAGCGCTCTTGGGCAAAGAGATCTTTTCAACAAAAGAGCCAATTGAGTGTCACAGGATCGTCCACTAACTGTCCGGCTGCTTGACACATTGACATGTCAGCATTTGCGGAGAGGCAATGTCGCGGTTCGCTGTGAGGCAGAGTACATCAACTGCGTAACTCCTTCCAACACTCTGGGCTACCTGATCACTGAAACTGGCACAGCGGCCTTGTTTGCAAGAATTGTTTGAACTTCATGCAGCGGAGGTGCGCAGCTTTCCATATACATTGCTTTTGCACTGCATTACAGCTTCCGAAACTGATGGGCTAATAGTACCGGTCAAGAGCAGACGATCTAGCGTTTTGGGCAGTTCTAATCTCAGGAGCTGCACAAGTGGGATGTCCGCGCGCAGTGTGCAGCACACTTTCACGGCTCAGCCAAAGTGGAAGAATGTGACGTCAACGGTGATCACTATCGCGCCTTGGAAGCGCAGAGAATGGCCCGCGTCACACATTCTCGTATGCTCAATGTCTCCCATTTGAAGCTGTGGAAGGGCTGTTTAGGCTGTGAGTTTGAGTGTCTCTCCACTGCAACTAGACATGAGTTTCCTGTGATTGCGGCGTTGCAATGCAGGCAAATAGTCAGCAAGAATTGGCGGATTTGAATAATTTCGCTTCAAGTCAGATTCGCGGGCCCTATGGACATGAGACGCACGCTCATTCTTGCAACTGTGACAGTGCCTTGAGGCATATCTGGCTGTGCAGCCGACTTGTGCTTGGAGCCCATGGATACGGCTGGCTACAAGGTCACAACCACAGCTTTGGAGATACATCAGTTGCTTGACTGAGCGTGGATGAACCTTGGGCTGTTCTTGGCTGAAACTGAGCTTCTTCTTCTCAGCATTTCTCGGCGCTCAGGTTCAATGTGAAGGCAGAATGCGCATTTGGCTATGAAGGTGCTCCCAAGGTCGTGAAGTGTGCTGGTCATGGTCAGGAGTTTGCGCTTGATGCCTGTCCTGAGTTAGGGGCAGGGCAACGTAGGGATTGCTGACGTCTGATGGAATGATGACATTTACAGGGAAGCTGGTGTGGCAAAACCGCTTTGTTGGCTGGGTTTTGGGCGTATTGACCTTGCCAGTTTCCGTCGATTGATAGGATGCCTTGGAGTTCGGGCCTGTTGCCGGCCCAGTGTCGGCAATCATTGCATACACTGACACATGGGCTATTCAAGTTGCTCAAATTGCTGCAGCATTTACTTCCCAAGCTTGATTGCAACATATATTGGCATTTTAAACCGCCTTGTGTACCCATGCTGACAGACTCGTAATTGGTTGGAGAGAATCATGTGGCCTTGTAGTTCAGCTGTGGGTGTGGGCTGAGCAGTTGGCGTAGCTCAGGAAGGGTGCCAACAAACAACTACAACAACTACCACCACCACCAGCACCACAACCACGACCCTCAAGGGTAAGTGCGCAGCTCCATCATCAACGGCAGGCTATGCTATCTCCGAAGACGACACAGACTGGAGCAAATTCAGTGTCAAAGTGGCCTGTGCCAAGGGCTACTATGGACATGCGCATGTCTTCGTATGCGAAGCACCCGACATGGTGTACTCGCTCTCGGGATGCGTACTGCACTTAGAGTCCTACAGGCGTTCAGGCCATTCACATTTGCATGATGTTGGCATTCCCAACGCACAGCGGTTCCGTCTGCATGAGTATGTCAATGTCACATTGTGTGCAGAAAAAAAAGAAAAACAACAGGCAATTTTGGCGAGCAAAGGCCATGGGCCTTGTGGGTCGTCTCGCCTCAGGCACAGGTTGTGACGTGCAAGACTCCAGCGGCTGTGGGCTACCACGTCAAGGAGTCCTCCTTGGACGCTTGGCACATCCTGAGTCGCAGTGAAGCGCGGCGTGCCGCCCATGTTGCCTGACCAAGGACCTTCACACTTGGGCTGTCACTGCCACCTGCTTCTCGGACGCATGAGTCTACAGTTGAATATTTGAAATCCAGAATATGGTATGACCATGCTCCGCAGTCTCGCATTGCATGACGCGGCGAGCAGTCACGTAGCCAGGGTTGCAGAGTCTGGAGTCTTTAAGTCTTTAGTCCCATAGCCCAAGCCCGCATCCAGCCCTTTCGCATGATGCTAGTCCTTTGAGAGCGTAGCGCGCGGGCCTTCTGCGCTTCATTATTGTGCTGCCTGATGAGTGGGGCATTCCCTCAGCACGGTACCGTGCGCTGGTAGGCGGAGACCACTTCCACGGCACTGCGAAGGCACGGCGAGCTGAACGGAAGTTTGATCGTGACGTTCTGCGCACGGCCAACGCTCCGACACTGCAACGCAGCCACGCTGCAGGTGAAGCCCTGCGAGGAGGACGGCCTTCCTTACGAAATGTCTGGATGTGCGCCTGACTTGTGTGCGGCGCTCACCAGTCTTGAGGTTGGTTCGTGGTGAGGGGAGGAGTTGCTTGCCGTGTGTAACGGACTTTCACATGCCGAGGTGTTCGCCCGGGAGGTGAGATTCCGTACACAAAGTTCTCTGAAACTTCGCTGGCACTGCAACCTGGGATGCATTGTCAAATGAGGCAATCAGGCCATGAGCTCCAAGAAAGGAGGCAGATGGTCGCTGTTTGGGTCATATCCTCAAGGAATGAAGTTCCAGACCCAGGTACAACTTTGCAGTGGATGCCGAGTGCGCCTGGGGCTACGAGGGCACTCCTGTGGCACAAGTTTGCGACGGCGCCAACAAGCCATATACGCTGGACGCTCGTCACAAGTCCTATGTGTTGGTCATGTCGGATTTTTGACTTTGCATTTCCATGCAAGCTGCGCATGTTTGCAGATGCAAGCAGCTAAGACTGGATGCGTCGAAACCACTACCACTACTACATCAACGACCACCACAACTACAACTACAACCACTTCGACGAGCACGACTACAAGTACAACAACCACCACCACAAGCACCACTACCAGCACAACCACCACAACTACTACAACCTCAACCACCACCATCACTACCACAACCATCACGACCACCTCGACAACAACAGCTACGAGTACCACAACAACAACATCGACCAGTACCTCTACGACCACCACTAGCACAACTACGACAACAACGACCACAACCACCTCCACAACAACCTCAACAACGGTCACGACCACGAGCACAACCACCATTACAAGCACTACCACTACCTCAACAAGTACCACGACGACAACCACCAGCACGAGTACCACCACCACAACCACAACCACCACCAGCACATCTACAACAACTACTGTCACCATTCCAAAGTTGGTTTGCTCTGCGCCGACAGACACCACAGGCAGGCTGAATTTGTTGTCGGCAGCATGCATTGGCAGCAGGCTTTGCTTTGCACCCTTGCCACTGAGTTTTGGGGGTATTTCCCGAAGCTAGAATCCGTTGAGAGTATGGAACAACACAGAAGACCTCCATTTGGAGTTACATTACCCAACAAATTTAGGGAACTTATACTCCTCCTAGCAGCCTGGACGTCGCCATGAAAGGTTACATCGTCAGTGAGAACAACCTCATGCAGGAGCACTTCAGCGTGACTGCAGAGTGTTCGGCTGAGCTGCTGGGCCAGGATTGTAGGATCCAGTGAGTGGCGTTTGATGTTATATATTTATATTATATATATATGCATACATAGTCTTTGTTTCATGATTTTTGAGATGGACCTGCCAAGGTATATTGGCAATGCTGCAGTTGCATCGTGCTCCGACACCAACGTATACTATGGTCTCAAGGGATGCACCAAGAAGATCTATTGCAAGAAGCCGGCAGATGCAGGCACAGAATCAGATCATGAGTCTCTGTATTTGGACCAAGGGAGACACTTACCATCTTGCATGAGGTTCTTGTCTGGCCACTGTGGTCTTAATTTCTCAGATTTGGAGAATTCGGAAAATGAGCTTGCAGTGTCAGCGCACTTTTTCTCGCGTTCCAAGCGTTTCTTGGCTTCACAGGCTACGATGTGACGGAAAACAGCCTCGTGATGCAGTCATTTGGTGTGAAAGTTGCCTGTTCCACTGCCTATCATGGCGTTGCCCAGGCCGGACACGTTCGTTCTTTTCCCTGGACTCAGTCCGTTTTGCGGAAGTTGAGGTCACCAAGTGCAGTGACACGAACCACGAGTATGGCCTCAAGGGATGCACAGAGAATTTCTGCACGGCGCCAGAAACTCCAGGCGTGCGAGAGCAAGACCTCACCTACTTGAGCGATGGATTTATAGTTTGTCATCTACTATCATAAACATGCCATTGGTTCGCCCACATCACCTTTAGGGGATGATGTGATGCTTGTGCCACTTGTGGGAATTCCTATGTCAGATGGGCCACGGCAAGTATTGCCCGCAGCTCACATTTGCATTCAAGCGCTATTTCGCTTTAGTGGGGGAAACAAATGGCATCAACTATTTGTTCCTAGCTTTTTGAGTCATCGTGCAGCTTCCTATTAAAGAGCTTTTCCAGTGCTTGTTGTTTTTCTTTTTTGGGGTGTTTGCTGTGAGCTGTCTACAACTGCAGGTCTGGTACGGGTGCACGCTTGCGTGCGCCGATACCTTGCATTGTCAGCTTTTAGGCGCGCGCGCTGTCCGCCATGTATCCTTGGACGCGCACGCGAGAGCAGCCGCTATTTCCACGTTTTTCTCCCGGTGGACTGTATGTCATACAGGGATTCCGGCATCAAGCGCCATACAGAACCGGTGGCAAGATCGACATCCCAGCCGCTCTCGCATTCCCGCGTCATCACCGCGTCAGTGCCAAAAACCTTGCATCACCAAGAAGCTCGGAGCCCATCGCCACACAGCTGTCTGCGGATGCGGTGTGCTGCAACACAAAGATAATGCAAACGACATCTTTCATGCAATTTGGTCATCCTGAGCTTAGCCTCACTCGCAGCGTTAGCATCATCAGCACTAGCCTCTCCCGCCCAGCTTCCACAAAGCAGCAAGAGGATGATCCACAGGAGCCCTGGGAATGAATGTGTTGTGAGACCGTATTGGCCGCATTTTTCGAGTTAGCAGCAACAGCTTCGGCGGCGAGGCCGGCCCCAGTGAAGTGCGAAAGCCCATGAGCTAGGCGACTGGAGCATGCTGAAACCTGCTTCTCCATGACGAGAAGGGGGTGTACCACCGACTAGTGCTTCGTGCCCACGACTCAAAAAACAGGAACCTGCAAGAAGCCACGAACCCGAATGCAATCTCACCTTCACCTTTTGGCTGGAAGTTTGAAGTACGATGACCCAGTCTCGCTCACTGACTCACTCACTCGTCGTCGCTGCTGTTGGGTTGATCGTACGACGACGACGCACAGCGCACGATCGCATACGTCATTTACATATATATAAGGAGATGCTTTTCATATATATATATATATAAGGCTTTCGCATGCTTCGTCGCTTCGCTTTCTGCGTCGCTTCGTTTCGCTTTCATTGGGCTTCAGCTTCATTGTTTCTTCGCTTCGCTTCTTCGCTTCGCTTCGCTTCGCTTACACAGATGTGACAGACAGACGCATCGCACGTACGCAGATCGCACGTGCGTCACTCGCACGCACGCACGCATCGTATGTTTATATATATATATATATATATAAGATGACGCACGTATCGCACGCAGATCGCACGCATATTTGATGATGAGATGCATGAGCGCATGTGATGATGACAGACGCATGATGTATCGTACGATGCATGACAGATGTGACAGATAAGACAGATGTGACAGACAGACAGACAGATAAGATGAGATGCGATGCGATGTGACAGACAAGACGATGCGAGATGACGACGCTATATCTTGCGATCGCATCGCATCGCATAGATGCTACGTATTTACGTATGCGCACGACCCATGAGATGCATGATTTATGACTCAATTGCCCGTGACTCCTACAGCCAGTCTTCTTACCCTTAACGGTTTCCCCAAATGATGCATCATTTACTCGCGCACTGCGATCATCACACGCACGTACTCCCTTATTCATCTAAACACACACACACACACTACTCACTTTCTTGTTCTCTCTCTCCTCTCTTTACTCTCCTACTCACTATCATCTACTCATCTACCTTACCTTACTCCACTCCATCTACTCCACTCTACCCACCCACTCACTACCACCACCTCACCACCATCTACTACCAGTCACTCCACTACCCACCACCCCCCATCCACCAATTCCACCACCCACCAATTCCACCCCCACCACCTACTCCACTCCATCTCACCCAATTACCCACCTACCCACTCATCTACTCACCCGCTTCACTCCACTACCCACTGGCTTCCACTGCTTCCATTTCCTGCCTACTCGCTTCCACTCATCCACTCACTCCACCACCCACCACTCCACTACTCCACTACTCCCACTACTCCATCTACTCCATCTACTCATCTACTCACTCCACTCCACCTCCACTCCACCTCCACCTCCACCTACCCTACCCTACCCTACCCCACCTACTCCATCTACTCCACCTACCCACCCACCTACCCACCCACTCCCACCCACCCACCCACTCCACCCACCCACCCATTACTCCATCTACTCCATCTATCGCATTATCTCACTCTTACTCCATCTACTCCATCTACTTTCAGCCTACTACTCCACCCAATCTAATCTACTCCACGACTACTGACTACTCACTACTCCATTCATTCACATTTCTCGCTGCTTTCGCTTACTCATCTACTCACTACTAAATTCATCTATCATCATCTACTCATTCAGTCATCTATCTACTTTTCATCATCTTACTTCATCTTACTCTATCTATCTACTCATCTACTATTGATACGCATCAGGCATGCCTCACGCCACGCCATGATTGCTGACATTCCCGCAGCATCAGGCAGACTGCGGCTACAGACGATGATTTACTGATTTAATACGATCACCACTACTCTCTTTTTCACACCGACTACTTACTTTCATGCATTCTCCATTGGTACTCATACCCATTCTCACTTGATTTCACTCATGCTTGTAATTCGCTTTCACTTATCGCCAGACTATCGCCCCTAATTCTGAGACGAAGCCAGGTCACCTGCGGATTCACAGCATGCATGGTGCCTCTATTTTCATAGTACCTGTGATCCTTCCTAACAAATCATGGGGATATAGCAGTTGATCATTTTTTTGCTTTGTTTATCCATCAAAAAACATCGCTGTCATTTAATAAATCCCAATGGTATTACGTTTATCGCCATCGCTGACGGTTGCGGGATTTCCAAGTTGCAAGACGGTTATGGCGTGTTGCGGGCTGGGAACACTCGAGGCGCACGGCCTCCGCCACTCCCATCTCTATTTACAAAAACGGGTTCTTCGCTACGATTCGGGAAACCTTTACGATTAATTACAGAGCGGGCATACAGCTGATTACAATAAGTAGCACAACCATACGTTAATGAAAGATTGATGCTAAGAGAAAGTACGTTCAGGAGACCCTTTGTTATGAAAAGAACAGTTTTCCGAAGTTTGTAGTTGGACGATCAACTACCGGTGATGACGACGAGACGACGGTGGTGGTGGGTGGTGCTGGCGCTGTTGCTGGTGACGGCCAAGGATCGCGAAAGTCAGCGTTCTCCGTCATTACACAGCCGGCATTTCTCGTCGGATTCCCCATAGGTACGCGCCCAGATGCTCAACTAATGGAGCGGTTTGAATTTTCTATTTTGCGATCAACAGAAAACCGCGCAGCCAACAAGCGAGGGGGGACAGGAGAGGGAAGCACACACTCACACACTTGCGGAGACACGAACCCAGAAGCTAACACCCAACATCTTAAAACCCAACGTAGCCCAACACACATTCGAGCCAGAACTACAATTCCAAGCTGAATAAGCGTTTTTGCGCGCCCCAGATATGGAACGCGAGACCCCGAAATCTTCGGCTTTGATAGGAACCTTTTTACCCAAGGCTTTTGTATGCATTGGAAGGGTCGGGATGTGCATTGGAAAGGGTCCGGCCTAAATACCCTGCTGACGACGCGGGGCTCTGGCAGTTCACAGTTCGACGCCCGGGGGCCCAGACCGTTTTGAGCGCACGCGACAAGGTCTGAAACCAACTGGCCACCGCAACGACACCCTGCGCGAACAAAATTCCGCTAGATAACAAAAAGGTTGTATGCTTATGGTGGAAGGCTGGCAGTTTGGAGTCCACAAGTCTTCACAACGCTGTCTGTTGTTTCGGATGCAATTTGTGGGCTGTGGATGTGTTCGTAAAATGTTTGTATGTCGCAGCTTCTTGACAGGAGTCCCGTGTTATCCCGTGTTTGCCAAAAGGTTGCTGACTTTGCTTGTTTGTGTGTGTGTGCCTGACAGGCCCATGAGCCGTGCAAAATTCCTTTGGTTACGCGCTATCGCTGCTATTGGCTTGCAATGGCGTATAGAGTTACAGTTTGAATCTATGGGCCAGTTGAGCGCCGATAAGAACGGTGCGCGTCAAGGTCTGGCGTCGGAAACACGTCGGGAAGCTAACGCTTGGGCCCTCAAAACTAGGTAAACCGAGGGCCCGCGAGGGCCCGAGCGTCGGAAAGCCGTCGGAAACGTCGGAAACGTCGGGAAGCCGTCGGGAAGCCGTCGGAAACGTCAGGAAGACGTCGGGAAGCCGTCGGAAATGTCGGGAAGCCGTCGGAAACGTCGGGAAGCCATCGGAAACGTCGGCCGGGGAATGCCAGGAAGATGAGTTATTGGAAACGTTGGGAAACTGCCAGAAATGCTGGAGTTGGCTGGTTGCTGGAAAGTTGCTGATGTTTTAGAAACCATGGAATGCCAGCGAGTGAACGCCGTTGGAAAGAGCAGATGTCGGAGTTGTCTGAGATCCGTGTTTGCGTTAGAAATACTTGGGCTTACCATTTGTCCGTGGCACCGAATCTTGTTTGCTACAGGACGGTGGGCTACACAAATTGCCAAAGGACATATTGAATGACAATGTGGTTGGTAATAATCCGAAAGTAATGGGGCCCTTGGCGCATTTGTGGGGTCAGCATGGCCCCTCGCCATTCTGTCCTTGAGGGCCCGATGCCGAACGACGCCCCGAAAAGAGTTGGGATCCTTAGGGTAAAACAAAATAAACGTTCCAAGCTCCAGAGAGCCCCCTTGTAGCGGCACGCAGCATGGGGAGGGTGCGGGTCACGAATGTACCCAAGATAGCTCCAGGCTACGTGGTCTCGGAGCTGGAGCTGCGGCAGCACTCCTTCCAGGCACGGGCTTGGAGTTGAAGGAATTTTGGAAAGGGGGAAAGAATTGGAAAGAAGATGAAAGGCTTAAGCAGGCTTGAGGCCTAAGGCTTGAGGCCTAAGGCTTGAGAAGTGAAGAGGGGGAAGGAAGGGGAGTCGGAGGGGTCGGAGGGGTCTAGTGGGTGGAAGATGGTGGGAAGAGTCTTAGATTGTGGCTCAGGTCACGGTGAAGTGTGCTGCTGGCTATGCTGGCACAGCAAAATCTGAGAGTTGCACATCGCATTTTGGTGCCTTGGCTGTTGGGATGAGTTTTCGTAGCGATCCACTACAATCACACACACACAAAAAGTGGCCAATGTCTGCAGCTGTGTTCCCGGCGCCCGCTGTGCGGACAGTATGCAGGGCTAAAACGAGCTGCAAGCTAGGGGACTAGCAATGAAATGCAAGCAGCCTCATTCTGGACTGTCTCGACGGACTTGGAGCGGTCCCAACGTCAAGCGCGTTACAATGACAATGAGTCCCAGTTTCCCGAGCTGAAGTTTGTGCTGGAGAGCTTTGGGGCATTCGAAGAATGCGCTCGCCTGCATCATTGTATTAAAACAATCCACACCTGATGCGAAATGCAATTTTGGAATAGGTCTTCACTTCACTCAAGGCCCGGGACCGTGATTGCCGTAGCCCTCGCGCTGAGGTGAGTACAAGCTCAGCGGATGCACAAGAATCGAGGCCTTCTGCGTTGCGCCAAGCGTTCCCTGGCTGCGGATTCCGCTTGCATGTCTACCCTGCTTTGAGTCGAGTTCCAGTCCTCTGAGTCGCTTCCAGGTTTTGCTTCAAGCATTGGGCATGCCCTAAGAACAGGTGCCGTTGGAATAGATCGTGCAATTGCCCTGTTTCTTCATGGGTGATTTGATGGCATTTCTTTGCCCCGAGGTCACGGACGGCTACTTGGTGACAGAGAAAGATCTCCGGACCGATGAGTTCAAGGTGACTGCTACTTGCGCAGCAGGATGGAGTGGTGCCTGGACTGCAGAGAAGGAAGGCAGAAAGACCGAAAGGTAAAAAATAAGTCTCTAGATGTGATGCTCAAGTTGCCCGGCTTGACATGGGTCCTTCAATGCCGGATGCAGACGCAGCCGGCCATTCAGGTACAGCGACGGTGTCTCCCTGCGTCGGGTCCACTCCACAGGCGCCAAAGCAGTGACAACTGCGCAGCGTCTAACCGTTGGCGACCATTTCACTTTGACGATGTTGGATGCCCGGATCAGGTGTCCTTTGAATATAAACTCAGCGGCTGCACGAGAAAATCGGATATCAATACCTTCTGCGTCGCGCCAAGCGTTCCCTGGCTGCGGATTCAGCTTGCATGTCTACCCTGCTTTGAGTCGAGTTCCAGTCCTCTGAGTCGGTTCCCTGAGAACAGGTGCCGTTGTAATAGATCGTGCAATTGCCATGTTTCTTCATGAGTGATTTGATGGCATTTCTTTGCCCCGAGGTGTCGGAAGGATACGTGGTGACAGAGACAGATCTCCGAACCGCTGCGTTCAAGGTGTCTGCTACTTGCGCAGCAGGATGGAGTGGTGCCTGGACTGCAGAGAAGGAAGACAGAAAGACCGAAAGGTAAAAAGCAAGTCTCTAGATGTGATGCTTAAGTTGCCCGGCTTGACATGGGTCCTTCAATGCCGGATGGAGACGCAGCCGGCCATTCAGGTACAGCGACGGTGTCTCCCTGCGTCGGGTCCACTCCGCAGGCGCCAAAGCAGTGACAACTGCGCAGCGTCTAACCGTTGGCGACCATTTCACTTTGACGATGTTGGATGCCCGGATCAGGTGGCCTTTGAATACAAACTCAGCGGTTGTTCCAAGACAACGCGATGAGTCGACGATGAGTCGGTGGGGCCCTGAACGACATGTTCGCAGTTTGCGGACTTCCACTGGTCTGAGTTGCACCTAGTGTCGCCCGTCGGTTCTCAGGTAACATTTTTTGCCCGTGATTGGCAGTGAGCGGTTTGTCCACGCTGCTGGACAGACAACGGATGCGCAGTGCCCAAAGAAGCAAAATTGCCTTGGCTGTTGCAAGCACTGGATGAGTGGCAGCTGAGCAGATGAGAACGGTGAATGAAACCACATCAGCAGCTTTAGAGCCATGATATCTTTGCATGATACGAAGAAACGCAAGCTTGACAGTTGTATGTAGATGCAGTCATGTGACATGCCAGCTCCAATCCGCAGCACAACGGATGGCAATGGAATACAAACTACAAACACAAGCTGCATGAACTTTGCAAGAGGATCTCACAGAGCCCACGAACTTGTGGTAGCTGGCCTGCCATGCTCGCAACTAGCTGCCGGAAGAAGACCCGTCCTGTGAAGACTGCGCTCAAAAGGGAGGCAGGTGCTCAGACAAAGGTCCAGTCGCTGTTGGCTGTGGCAAGGAGCTGCAGGGATTGTGGACAACGCCTATCTCCCTTAGAAGATGCGCTTCACCAATGTTCCGTCTCTTTGGAGTGGCCGTTCCCAGCAGAGTCGCTGAGCAGCGACGGATGCCGCGTCGTGCGGCTGGGGCCAAGCGCCCTGCGGGGTGCGGCAGGGGTTCGCTTGGTGGAGCTTTGGGAGAAGATCCGCGACACGGAGCTGTCCCACGCCCTGGAGCTGCCGAGCGCCGAGCGCTTGGCCAATCACAGCGCCTGGCTGCTGCTGGCATTGAGGGGCAAGGAGGTTCTGGCCTTGCTCAGCGCCGAGCGCGTGCCGGCCAGCTGGGCTGCCATCTCTCCGGAGTCAGCCAGCAGAACAGCATTGACCTGCGACAAACAAAAGTCAATTGCAGCACCTCTTCAGCCTCACTCGGAGGGGGCAGTTGCAGACCACGAGGCAGGGACACAACCATTGATCTCAATTGAGTACTGTGCTCGGATTCAAAGTCACCATGGAGATGGTTCATTGCAGAGCTTTGCCTATGCACAGCAATGGGAGCCGTTTCTCAGCTCGCCCTGGCAGGCTAGGACACCACCTCGGCGCGCTGGCTTTGCGCTGGGCGTAGCTGTTGTTTGGGTGCGGCGCAGAGAGCGTCGACGTGGGCTTGCAACAGCGCTCGTGGATTGTTGGGCTCTCAGACAGCGCACAGTGCCCACACAGGTGCACAAATGATTTAGATGATATTGGACATGTAGAAGACATATGATATATATATATATATCCTACTGTCATATCCCTGCAAAGAATGACTGCCTGCTACATTTGCACAAAGTAGCCTCACCAAAAGAAGAACTGGACAGTCAGAGTAGAGCATGGATTGTCATGTAAGGGGGCAAGGTTGCATGTTCCGGTTGGGTCTGTATGTGTTGCAGGTGAAAATCGTTGGGACATGAGACAACATGGCTACATGGAGAAACATAACTGTAAAGCGGTGGCTAAATTTGCAACGAGGCTTCATTTGACCCATTTTCTCAAATGAATCCAGTGGGGACCAAGGCGGCAAAACCAGTCTCAGGCCTGTTGCGATTGCGCAAGCTTCCAACTCGAGTCCTCCATTTGCCCGAAGGATCGAAGTAAACTCCACCAGGTGACCAATGGTGCACTGAATCGATGGCAAACGGATTTAAGCGCCCGCCAATCGCCTCTCTTGTTCTCTTCAACGAGACAATGCTTTATGCTTTATGCTTTGAAATCATTTGCGAGCTTGGCAGTGCCAGGCTGCCGGCTCTGCCTGTCTCCTTAGGCTTCATTTCCTCCTTCACTGGGGAGACCGCAACACCGCTCAATGCCAAAACTGGGGGCAGCTTCAAGCCCATGGATTCTATGGAGCCCATCAGGCCTCGCTCCGCTGGCGTGTCCATCTTCTCCAGCGAGCCTGTCAAAACGTCGCGGTCGCTGCCAGAATGTGAAGCTGAAGAGGAGCCGCGTTCACAACCCTCGCTGAAGCTGAAAAAAAATGTCAGCAATGCTGACCACGTACTCATTGCGTAGGCCGCGGCTGTTTGAAGTGTTTTTGACAGTCCTTGCCCCATCCTTGCAGCCCTGCTCCCACAAGGATGTATTTGAGAAAAAGGATCAAATGTAGCCTCGGTAGAGAAAGTAGCTCCTTTTCACAATTTCTCAAGAGGAAGACCATTTTTTGGTTTGTGCATGGCGACATGTTTTCCTGGAACATTCAGAAATGGCCCATCACCAGGATGGTTAAGTTCCTTTGACAGCGTTGATTTGGCGATAGAACATATGCCTTAAGACCTTTTGAGGTTGCGGCTATTCTGGCGAATGTATTGCCAGCCAAACAGAAAACCAGCCTCTCGCTACGCGTGCATTCTCTACGCCCGCTGCCCCTCTCTCCATGTAACCGCACTTGGGATGGCAGGGGGCTATGTATACATTAAAAAATATATTGTATACCTATATATATATATACATAATACATGTGGTGCAGCATCCCAACCCCCCCCCCCGCCCCCCCGCGATCCTGTGGTCCTGTGTTGGGTTGTGGTGCAGGGTTGGTTTGGGATGGGTTTAGGGTTGGTTTAGGGTTGATTCAGCTTGACATACGTGGGTTTAGGGTCTTTCTACTACTCATGTTAGGATTAATTCAGTGTTGGCTTGGGGTTGGTTGAGGGCTTGATTGCTCGGGTTGCGGGAATGCTGGGTTGCAGAAAGTGGTTTAGGGATGGTTTGGGGTGGGGGACGGGACGCTGTACTATGCACATACGTCATAGGCCTTTCGTTGCTTTGATCGGGGCGACCCCTCCTTGTATTGTATCTAGCGAATACCGGTCAAGTTCATCCGACGTAAAGTCAGCTTGCTTTCGTGTCAATCAATCTAGCATTGCATTGGCCGCTGCTGCACGCTTGTATTGTTTTTGCAGGCGACTCCCGTGATTGGCGCCAAGTAGACACACCTGAAAGTGTGGTGTGGAAAGGCCTTGCATATCATGCCGACCCGCCTATCTCTGTTGATCAGTGCTTCAGCTCAAGCCGAATTGGGGACCTATTTTGTCATTGTATGCTAACAACGCATTACGTCGGGCTTGCGCTTGCGGTCGAATGTCAGGGTACGAGTCCCAAGTGCCACGTCAGATGCAGCGGACGAGTCGCGGGTCTGATCCGATGTCCCGAGGCGCCCGGCGCATCAGCGGCGGGGCCGTGGCCTTCTCACAGCCCACGGAGCTGGGCTTTGCCTTCGCCAGCGCCTACACGAGGCAGAGAGCTTCGAGCCAGAGCCAAGACCCTTCGGGTTTTCAGCACACCGCTGTTGATCAAGCTTGTGGTTGTTTCGGAGGGCTTATCTGAGAGATATTGAGAGCAAACATTGGGAGCACGGGTGACAACTTAGACTTGGCTTCATGGGGGCTCAAGCGGTCCGCTTGCACTGCAGGCATCGCGGATCAACATCCTTGCCTTTGGTGTATGAGCCGGATTGGGAGCCTCGCAGTTAGTGCAGCCATTCAGCAATTCAAGCAGGCGTGTCTCAAAACAAGGCACTGGTTTACGCTTATTGGTGATTCGGAGGGCAACTAAGCTGGAATCTGCCAATTTGGACCCTGATCTTGAGACAAGGCAATCTTGGCCAGTGCCGGCGGGAAGAGTGACACTGCAACTGCCAGCTTCAGAACTTCGGTGACATGTGGGCGTGCTGGCAGTTGTAGGGGGCGTAGAGTTGCGGGGTGCAAACTCGTACATTTGCTGTTTGGACAGCAATGTGATTGTAGCAATGCTTGCGGGGTTAGGGCAAAAAGTGAGCCGCGGAAATGCAGTCCACTGCGCCGACGGGCTTTGAGTCCGTTGCATTTGCATTTTGCTGGACACTGCTTGACCCATTCTGCGGATTGGCTTTGACCTAAATTCCATTTTGGATGCGCGCTTCTGCTTGGCTGAAGGGGCGGGCCCAGCCGCTGCTACGCAGCCGGGGCCCTGCCACCCGCAGGCGAGGGTTAAAGCGTCAGATACAGCATTGCACGTTTGCTGTACTGTTTGGTGTCCTGAGTCCTACCTGCCTGGCAGCTCACTGCACATGGCCTTGGCATTTGTGTATAGACTATAGACGTATATTGTTCGAGTTCTTGTTTCAAGGGCCTTTTTGGAGCGTTGGAGTTTGGTTTCTCCATGGGCCCTGGAGCCTGGAGCTCCATATGGACCTCAGTGTGCTTCATTGCGAACTCTTTTCTCCCGAACCGCTAGTCAGAGCGACGCAAGGTTGAGGAGAGTTGGCAAGCGCCAGGGTGGCAGGGCAGAGATATTCCAGCAATTCCAAAGCACAACCAAGGACCAAGTGAGTCATGCCGCAGCACTACTGCACTACCAAAGCACGGCAAATACCCAAGCACCCAGGGCAACTAGTGCCTACATGCTAGGGCATTGATTTTCGGTGCGCAGGAGTAGCGCAGGAGATGTAGCAGCAGCTTTGCAAGCCGGTTGAGTGACTGCCAGGTATGCGATGGTACAATGTAGCTTGGCTGCTTTGGCTGCCTACCTTAGTGGAAAGCCGAAAGCTGACACAGCGTAGAGCAGGCTTCCTCTACAAGGCCCGCTCTGTGTGAGTGAGGATGGGTTCTGATAAGAATCCCAGCTGCCCTAAAAATTGAAGGGCCGTGCTTGTCCCCCATTGGTCAAGCACGCGCGGCAGGCAATTGGTTGGCATGATGAGCCAGTTGCAAGTCAGTCATGCGTAGTCGAGTGGGTATTCTACAGAATTGAATATGAGGACTTCCAGAAGTATTCACAAGAGAACATAATTCTATCAGTCCAAGCAAGATTCCAGAATTTTACTAGCCTTTGCTCGGCTTTGCCGACAGAAGCCACCAGGGTTTTCTGCCCAGCCTGGGGCCAGAGCCAGACGCCTTGCTGCGGGCCAACCGAACAATATAGTTGAGATGTGAGCATGCCTGCCTGATTCGGCTGCATTGGGTTGAGACGTATATCACTATTTGATTCTGGGTTGAGGAATTGCCGTAGTCTTTGGAGGGCCCAGGTTCAAGAGCGGATGGAGGAACCATCATATGCCTCACTTGTAGCATACGAAACAGCGAAGCTCCACCTCTGACTTCGCCAGGAAGCCGCAGACGAAGGTGTAGATGTTGCGGGCCAACTGCGCTTGAAGCTGAAGGACTGAATGGACTATGGGTTGCAGTTGCCTCGCAGCTTTTGTCACGACATCCCCTGCTGTGTCCTGCGCTTCTGGGTAAGTTTGCTACATGCTGCCTCGTGTTCCAGGCCAAAAGTTTCGTGAACCCCCACACCACAATTGCTGAAGTGGGTGACGTTCGCATCGTTGACTTCAACGGCACGTGCCTGACTTGTGCCTTGGAGAAGGAATCGTCACTAGCGTGTCGCCTGCTTCAGCACGCCGCGTGAAGAAAGACTGACATGACTTTTCCATTGAAGGCCCCGTGTACTGATGGATTGAGCGTAAGAGTCTTACACACAGGCAAGAAAATAAGAAGCATAGTGGTCCAAGGCGGCAAATCACCGTATTGCGCGACGTTGAATGCCTTCGACAAGGACCGCGGAATGCAAGCAGCAAGCTTGCAACGGTGTGCGATGGGAAATCGGGCAATTCGGGAGAAGGGGATAAATTAAAGGTTGAGAGCGGGACTTATGCCTTGGCAGCTCTGCAAGGACACAGGACCTGAGAAGGCATGCACTGGGACTATGACACCTGGACAAAAGTTCAGCTTGAGCCTGAGCATCAAGTCACTGAGGCATAATGACTTGAATGACTTTTTACGATGTCCTGTAAGGCTGGACTGTGTCTGACAAGGAGTATGACCTCCTGTTGACTATGCCAATCTCGTCTCTAGGCCTTTGAGAGCGAGGGCTGCCATTCATTGTGCAAGTTCAAAGACGAATTCGATCAGCTCGGCGAATCCACACTGAAGTTGCAAGCTTGCCAAATGCAATGGCAGAGTCGAGGTGTGTCCTCGCACTGCCAAGCTTATGTTGGTCTTCTATCACTCGTGGCATGTCAGAGCTGATATTTTCCAGGATCCCGTCTCAGCCAGGTGACGACTTGAATTTCGAGGTGCAGATCTTTTCAGCAGTTGATGCATCAGGCTGTGCCAATGATGCTTTGAGAATTGATCGGATGAGTGACCCGTTGTCCTGCCAACCAGGCCAGAATAGCAAGGAGATCACGGGGAGGCCAGAATATACATGGTTTGCATTTGCCACAGGCTTGACAAGTGTCAGCATCCGTTGACTTTGACTGATCAAGACACCTAAGAATTACAGACTTTGCTGGTCATGGTTCTCTGCTAGCATAGACTGCCCACTCCTCGCTACTCTGTCAACCTGTCCTGTGCAGGCAAGTTACGCAGTGGATTGCGCTCGCCTTGCTGGGAACTCCAAAACACAACGTGTGGTACAAAATCGCACCTGGGATGCAAATTCTGATTCTTGAGATCCAGCCACGCACTTGGAGTGCCTGGCATGTTCTTTCTCAGGGCGTCTCCCTGAACGGTGACTTCTCCCGGGGTGTGCAGACCATCTCGAACAAAGTGCCAGTTCCAGAAGAAGCCGTGAAGGAGCCGAACATGGAGCGATGCAATGGCAAAGCAGAAAAGACTAGTCACAGGAGCTTTCGTTTCTCTTATCTCAAATTGCCCAAGCAGCTTCACGGGTGACTGTTTTAGCACCTGCTTCTCTTCTGCTTCTTTTGTTTTGTCGTTTCCCGCTGCTTTTCAGCCCGGCATCAGAAAGCAATGCATGTTTGTTTTTTTAAACCACAAACGTCCTTCGCTTTTTGTTTGGTTGATTGCTTGCTTGCTTGCTCGCTCGCGTGTTTGCCCATTTGCCAGTTTGCTGGCTTGCCTGTTGGGCTGTTTTTGCTGTTTGCTCGCTCGTGTGTTTCGTGTGTTTCGTTTCGTTTGGTTTTGGTTCGGTGTCTTTGCTTGATTGCTTGTTTGTTTGATTGAGTGATTGGTTGATTGATGGATGGATGGATTGATTGATTTGACTTTATTGGTTGCTCGAGCCTTGAGTTGGCGGGTTGTTGGATGGATGGATGGATAGTTGGATGAAAATGAACGAATGACGAATGAATGAAGGAACGTATTAAAAAAACGCATGAAATGGCATGAATGACATGACATGACATGACATGCCATGGCATGACATGACATGGCATGACATGGCATGGCATGACATGACATGACATGACAGAATGAATGAATGAATGAATGAATGAATGAATGAATGAATGAATGAATGAATTAATGAATTAATGAATGAATGAATGAATGAATGAATGAATGAATGAATGAATGAATGAATGAATGAATGAACGAACGAACGAACGAACGAATGAAATTAATGAATGAATGAATGAATGAATGAATGAATGAGTGAATGCATGAATTAATCAATGAACGAACGAATGAATTAATGAATGAATGAATGAATGAATGAATGAATGAATGAATGAATGAACTCATGAATGAATGAATGAACTCATGAATGAATGAACGAACGAACGAAGGGATGGATGGAATGGAATGGAATGGAATGGAATGGATGGATGGATGGATGGATGGATGGATGGATGAATGGATGGATGGATGGATGGATTGATGGATGAATGAATGAATGAATGAATGAATGAATGCATGAATGAATGAATGAATGAATGAATGAATCAATGCATCAATGCATGAATTAATCAATGAACGAACGAATGAATTAATGAATGAATGAATGAATGAATGAATGAATGAATGAATGAATGAATGAATGAATGAATGAATGAATGAATGAACTCATGAATGAATGAATGAACGAATGAACGAATGAACGAATGAACGAACGATGGAACGAATGACGAACGAATGAGCGAACGAAGGAACGCACGACCGAACGAAGGAACGAAGGAACAAATGACCGAACAAATGCATGAATGAATGAAGGGAGGAAGGAAAGAAGGAAGGAGTGAAGGATTAGTGACCAAATGAATGCATGAATGAAACAAATGCATGAATGAAACAAATGCATGAATGAATGAAGGGAGGAAGGAAAGAAGGAAGGAGTGAAGGATTAGTGACCAAATGAATGCATGAATGAAACAAATGCATGAATGAAACAAATGAATGAATGAAATGAATGAATGAATGAATGAATGAATGAACGAACGAACAAATGAAATGAATGAATGAATGAATGAATGAATTAATGAATTAATGAATGAATGAATGAATGAATGAATGAATGAATCAATGAATGAATGAATGAATCAATGAATGAATGAATGAATGAAACAAATGAATGAATGGATGGATGAATGAATGAATGGATGGATGAATGAATGAATGAATGGATGAATGGATGAATGGATGGATGAGTGAAGCGAAGTGAAGTGAAGTGAAGTTAAGTGAAATGAAATGAATGATATGCACAAACGGGTTGAATGAATGCATGCCTGTATGAGTGAATGAGTGTATGCGTGATCTGGAATATGAATGACTGAATCAATTAATGAATGGATGGATGGACGGATGGATGGACGGATGGATGGATGGATGGATGAAATGGATCAATGAATTGGTGAATGAATGAATTCAAGTGAAATGAAGTGAAGTGAAGTGAAATGAACTGAAATGACTAACATCACGAATGGGTTGAATAACTGTTCATTCATTCACTCAGTCATTCATTTCATTTCATTTCATTTCAGTTCATGCCACTGCATTTCATGTCAGTTCATGTCATTTCATGTAATTTCATGTAAGTTCATGTCATTTCATGTCATGTCATTTCATGTCATTTCATGAATTCATTCATTCATTAATTCATTCATTCATCCATCCATTCATTCATCTGTTTCATTTCGTTTCAGTTCATGCCACTTCATGTCCTTTAATTGTTTTCATTGCATTCATGTCATTGATTCATGTCATTTGGTCATTCGCTCATTCGTTCATTCATTCATTCATTCACTCACTCATTCATTCATTCATTCATTCATTCATTCATTCATTCCTTCATTCATTCATTCATTCATTAATTCATTAATTCATTAATTTCATTCGTTCATTCATTAAGTACTTCGTTCATTCATTCATTCATTCATTCATTCATTCACTCATTCTTTCTTTCTTTCTTTCTTTCTTTCCTTCCTTCCTTCCTTCCTTCATTCCTTCATTCATACATACATACATATATACATGTGAACGAATGAAGGAGCGAAGGCGGGATGGAAGAAAGGAAGGAAGGAGGGAAGGAGCTGAGCAAAACACGCAAGAAAACTCACTTCCAAGCACGCAAACACGCAAGCATTCAAACAGACGACCACACACAAACAGAGAAACAGACAGGCAGACAGAGAGACATTCAGGCAGGCAGGCAAGTAAGAAAGAAGATGAGGGCAGAGGGTCTGCAGATTTCTCGAACCGCTGAAGGGGACACCATGCCCCCACATGTCTTGTTGCGCCAAACGCACTGCGCCTCCCTAGCCATGGGGGCATTTGGCCGTTTAAACAGGGGGCTCTAGCCCCATGACAGCCCTTGCGCGCCCTGACTTTTCGCAAAGCGCCGTCAAGCTTGCAGGCTACTCGCTTGCTCTTTTTTGCGCCATGATGCACGCTGCCCTCGCGGCAGATGGAAGCAACTTGACCCTCGGCTTTCCCCAAGCGCTCTGCAGATTCTGGGACCCGACAAGCCATCGTTCTCATGCTTCTGCTTTGCTTTGCCGTAGAAGATCAACTTGATCACCTTGACGGTCCTTTTTGCCCCGTAGTATTTGGGATCTGGCTTGATGTAGACGCAGCCTCCGCGTCGCGTCGCAAAAGTCTTTCTCCGGATGGGTGGGCGTCGGCTTTCTTGTGGGTCTTGCGCCTCATCACGTTGCTGCTAGCTTTGGCACACCTCTTCAAGGCTCCAACGTCCGTAAGCCCTATGGGAGACACAGCTCTGTCGAGGATCCAGCTCTGTCCCGAGAGCTCCAGCTCTGTCCCGGGAGCTAGCCTCTTTTCTTTTTGGGCTCGAGTCTGCCTGCAAGCTGCTTGATGAGCATGTCATAGTTGGCGCGTTTCACTGCCGCTGCAATCTCTTCCTGTAGCCTGGCAGCGCGCGACTTCCCACTGCTTCAGCTTTGCCAGAAAGTCGGACTCTAAGGCCTTGCGCGCTGGCCACCTATATTTCGCTCGTAGGCGCCCACTATCATCTTCCAACCTTCAATTCGTTCCCGGTCTCCGCGTTCACCGTCACCGAAGCTGTGAGGATGCAGCTGACGCGAGGCTCGCGACCCTTGGCAGTGCCATGGACGCGCCCTATGGCCCAGCGCGGGGTTTTCTCGAACCGCTGAAAGGGGCTACTCGTGTGCGCCCGCGATTCATTCTTGTTGCGCCAAACAAGGCAGGCGGGGCTGGGGGAGCAAGCTAGCAACGAAACGAACGAAGCACATCTTCAAGCGAGCCACCAAGCAAGCAATCACATGCATGGCAAGACTCAAATAAGCACACTCTCTCACACACACACACGCACGCGCACACACACACACACAATGTAACCGAAAACGAGCCTACAAGAACAGAAGAAACCGAACGAACAGGCAACTACAAAAACAGAAAG